AATTACTTTTATAGCTTTAAGGATTCATCTATATTTAATTTAGAATTTAGTGTTTGATAACTTCCATTTCAATTTCTGTATATTTCTGCTGAAGGGCACAGGTAAATATGACATTTATTATAATGGGTTTTTATGTGAAGATTGTTTTAAGTTCACTTAAATTAGAAGTTATTTTTTAAAGTCTAAAAATTTTTAAAATTGATAGCTCTCAATTGTACTGTAATTATAATTGAATGTCTATAGTCAGTGGTTAAATATTGGGGGGGGGGCAATTTTATAGAGTAATCAGTATTGGTATCATTGATACTGGCCTTCAGTCATAAAAAAAGATGTCATTAAAAAAATATTAAAAAAGATACTGTCTTTATGTTGTTTGTACATTAATTTGTAGATTGAATGAGAAATTATTACAATATAAAAGTATATTTAAAAACTTTATCATTGATTCTGGCCTTCATTCATAAAAAAAGATGCCATTAAACAAATATTAAAAAATATACTGTCTTTATGTTGTTTGTACATTAATTTGAAGATTGAATGTGAAATTATTGCAATATAAAAGTATATTTAAAAACTTTAATGTTAGGTGGGATTAATCGCGATTAATTTCAGAAAAATGTGCGATTAATTAGTTTTAAAAAATTTATAGATTGACAGCACTAATTATAATACATTATAAAATTTACTTATTTGTGGTTATGTTTATTGCGGGTTTTAAATAATCATACTCATAAAAGTTATGTTAAATCCACTTAATTTGTAATGGATTATATTTTATATGGACTTAATTTATAAGTCTCATTAGTTAAGATCTGTACAGTATCTTACTATCTTACTATGTGCCATATTACACATTCATCTGATCAGATATCTGATCTATGGCTGTTTAAGAAAAAATATTATTATTATTATTATTTTTGTTGTCATTGTTGTTGTTATTTATAAGTGGTCTTTGTCTGCTTTAAGTAAAGTAACAAGTTAACAATGGCAAGATATGAGACTTATAATACATTATAACTATGGGAAATATAATCCATTGTAAATTAAGTGGATGCATTGTGTTCATTGTGTATTAACATCATAATAAGTCATCATAATCTTAAAAGCTTTAACCACAAAAAGTAAAAAGTAAATAATATAATGCATTAAAACTGCTGTTATGATTGCTCATGAGATGATACTGTCACACCCTTGGACTGCCCCTGTGTTCCGCAAAAAAATAAGAAATCAGGAAGGGGGCCAACACTTTTTCACACCACTGTATGTCTCGTTTATTTCCTCTTTTAGTTCCTGGTATTTAAGCCCTGTGTTTTCCTCTGTCCTGCGTCCAGTGTTAAATGTCTAAACGTCCCTGTGCTACGTGTGTGTTCCAGTATGGATTAATAAAGACTGTTATTTCAGAATCTCCTTCGTCTCCGCGCTCCTCGTTTCCAACACAGTAGCAGCAGCATCGTGACAGAACACTGGACTGTAAAACAGTAAGCGGCGCCCCTTCTCCCCAGTTTTGTTTTCCGTTCCCCGTGGTTATGGAAACCGCTGCGAAATTTGCTGCCCTAGCCCGTAAGGACCTTCCTTTTGTTGAGTATGCCAGGGAATTCTGTGGGCTCGCCGTCTTAACGGCATTAGACGACGCCACACTAAATTCTTTGTTCTGGATCGGGCTCTAGCCCCTGAGTCCGCTCCAGTGTCGGCTCTAGCTCTAGCCCCTGAGTCCGCTCCAGTGTCGGCTCTAGCACTTGAGTCCGCTCCAGTGTCGGCTCTAGCACTTGAGTCCGCTCCAGTGTCGGCTCTAGCACTTGAGTCCGCTCCAGTGTCGGCTCTAGCACTTGAGTCCGCTCCAGTGTCGGCTCCAGCCCCTGAGTCCTCTCAAGTGTCGGCTCCAGCCCCTGTTCCCACATCCAGCCCAGAGAGGGCTCCTGTTCCCAAGTTAAGCCCAGAGAGGGCTCCAGTTCCCAAGTCCGGCCCAGAGAGGGCCGCTGTTCCCATGTCTGGCCCACAGAGGGCCTCAGATCCAGAGTCAAGCCCAGAGCCGGTTCCAGCCAGGAACGCGAGATTTTCCCCAAGGAATTTTTTTTCGGGGGGCTATATGGCTCCGGCCGTAGGGGCGAGTGTTGATTAATAAAGACTGTTATTTCAGAATCTCCTTCGCCTCCATGCTCCTTGTTTCCGACACAGTAGCAGCAGCATCGTGACAGATACAACATATTATTATAATGTTTTTTTATAATACATTACGCATTATATTCATGTTCTGACTCACACGTACTGTGTTTTTTTTATTTAAAGAATTTGCCACTGACGATTCAAACGCGAGTTTGAGCAGTGTAGAGTAGCGCTTGTTTTTCGTCATTTCTCCGATCACAAATGCAGACATGGTTTTATGTTTACACGGTGCGATGCAATGCGTAAAAAGACAGTATATGCCATTATAATCCGTCCCCACTGGATGGCACCCCTCGCTTTTCAGACCGATGAGCTTTGTAAAAATCGACACGTTTCAGAAATGCGGGGCATAGAGGAGAAACAATAATGTACAGTATGTGGAAAATAATGTTTTTTTAACCTTAAACCGCATAAACAAATTTCGTTACACCAAATACACACAATACATTTTTTTTTGCAACATCATATTTAACAGTCTCCACTCTTTCTGCAAATTCCACCACAATGTGTGTAGAGACTGAAAGTCTCCCTCAAACTTATATTTTATGGTTGCAAGAATCTTGTTTCACACATCAATGGCAATTCACCATTGCTGTTGGCATAATCACGTCTGGCAGGGGATTAGCTTTGTCACCACTAACTGACAGCTGAAGTCCAGTGCTTTCTGAGACTTTTGCAGCTTTTTTTTTAAAACAGGTTTGAGTAAACAATGTCAGAATTTTAGTTTTTGGATGAATTATGCCTTCAAGTCCACCTTGACCTCATTCAGAAAAAAATATATATATATTCATAAAATAGTTATTTGCAATTACAACTATATTTGCTGAGTGTAAACTACAGGTACCTTTTTTTTTTAGATTCTTTACAAGAGAAGAGAAGAACTTCACAGGATTTAAGTTGAGAAAGTCATCTTGCTGTGATAAGTAATTTGATTTCATTTTGATCCCATTTTGTCTTCTATTTATTCTTCTCTTCCTTCTCAGATCACCATAGAGGACAGTGACTCAGATGAGAATGTTGCATTTTTAAAATGTTCCAGGCCAAAACAAAAGTAAGTTGAAAAGCATGGAGGTGGAAAACACATCTTAACAATTTGCTTTGCATACTTATAAGCACTCTGTAGTTAAAAAAATCCAGGAATGCATAAGACTAAAAAGCTGTGAAATGTATTTAACTATAAAAAAAAAAGTAACTAAACCTGTTGCCCATGCCTTACTTGTTTAACTAACAGGCTGACTTCATTAAGCGCCAGTAAGAGGGGCTCCCAGAGCCAGTCTTTTAAAGGAGTATGCTTTGATGACGATGAGGTAGGAATAATATGTACTCCTTTTTGTGTTGGATTTGTTCACAAATCGATATTTAACTTCACTTCTCCTTTCAGGATGAGTTTGATCCATTCAAGGGGACAAGACAGCAGCGCAGATAAGAAAAGAATCCCAATTGCTTGTCAACTAATGAATCCACTTCTTTTTTGCAGAGATCTGAGTAAACTAGTTTGTTAAAGGTTAACTTGCCTAAAGTTGTTTTAAAAGCTTTGTTCAACATCTAACACCTAGCAATGTTGTCTTTTATACTGGTATTTTATTGTCCCAGAGAAAAAGTGTGTTAATGTCTGAATAAAAGTGTTTATGTCTGTTCCAAGCCAATAAAAACCATAAACTATGACTTTCTACTTATGTGTACATTCATAGGAAAATATGTTGTTGCTACAAGGCAGAATATTGTATTTGACAATTCAGGCAGGGGGAATCTTATTAGTTTGTTGTTTTACCAAGTTCAGTCAACAAATGTATTTTATAGCAAAATACTGATACAACCATCACCCCAAACACACAATACAGTATATAGTTCAATCTGGTTGCTAAAGTTTTCCACACTTCCAAAAGCCATAGAAATGAGTAGGAGGATCCAGCCTTCAACTAACATAGGATACAGAAGCACTAGTACTTATACTGTATGGATAATCAGTTAACGTCTTTTCTACAGGTTTTGATAGGTCAACAGTACAGATAATTGAAGCATCTACTGAACAAGGTGTAGCGTAGCGATTGGTACTCACATCACAGATGACATTGTAATTTTTGGTTTCCGTGTCACTAAGGTGCAGTTATGAGTACATCAGATTACCACTTCCCCCTCTCTTAGTTTGAGGCACCAGTCGAGTACTTTTACCTTGGCAGTATCAGAACAATTATAGGGGACTTTTTGGAATTAATGTAAACTAGAGAAAGTTGGTCAAATTATTTATCTACAAGTTAACAATATCTAACTAATCTTTCAGAGCCTTTTACTGTATTATCAACACAAGGAAAACACAAGTGTGATGAAATTCTCTTGATTATGATTTGTTAATAAAATGTAATCAACATCTAATAAATGAATGCCATGAATGACAGTGCACAAGATGCATAAAATGCAAGTGATTAAGTTGGGTGTTGTTATGGCTATGAGTTACATTGTCTTGTGGAAAAACTGATAAAATGCCGATTCTTTAAAACTACTAAGGTGAAGAGCCTTATGCATCAAACAAATGAAAGATTATTTGTTATTAACTGACATCAGCTATATAACATCTAACGTAAATTCAAAAATTCATAAACTGCCAAGGTCTCTGGAAAGAGGGGTCATCGGATGCCCATTTTCCACAAGTTGATATGATTCTTTAGGATCTTAATGAAAAGTCTATAACATACTTTGGTTAAAATTTCTCAATGGTAGTGTAAAAAACACCCTTTTTACTCTGTCAAAATCAGGTGACGAACAGACTGTAAACTTCAGCCACGAAACTGGCTAACTAGCACATATTAGGAAAGGCGATTTGCAAAGATTCATAAAAAAACCCTTATACTCACTTCTGTAGATGAAGCTGGATCATGAATGATTTGCGCGATATTAAACGCATTTAGGCATATCGGGGATCGACGCATTCCTTTCAAAAACGAAAGTAACGTTAATCCTCTCCCGTCTCAGATGTCGGGAGTAAATGACGACTGCTATGTTCATTATTACATCCATCTCTTAATCTGAGACATTCTTGTCTTCCCCTCCACCGGAGTCGACACAATGGCAGACATCTCTCAGCTCACTCAGGGCGGGTCTTAAGGTAAGACACACACATTTATGTTCAAACAACAACAAAAGTGAATTTTGCATCCGATGACCCCTTCAAGTGATAATTTAACCGTGGTCGAGTGAGCAATCTGGATGACTTTTTCCACTGTTTGTGCTGGCTGGGTAACAAAACTGGAATCCATTTCAGCAACCTTGAATTCGAAGCACTGTGCACACCACTAGATGTCATCAAGAAACAGACTAAGCCCCAAGAATGGGTAAATAGTACGGTAACAATACTAAAACTCAACAAGATTAGGATCTGCATAGACCCTCAAGATCTAAACAAAGCAATAAGAAGGGAACACTATCCTCTCAAAGTGCTTAAGCAAGTTGTTGCAGAAATGCCTGGAGCCAAGATATTCCACTGGGTACTGTTTGTTCCAATGAGGGATTTTGGCAGATCAGGCCGGATGATGATAGTTCTAAACTCTGTACAAGAATACACCCTTAGGGAGCTAGAGTTTTACATGTGCTGAGCAAAGATGGACTGAAACCTGACAAAGAAAAAGTGAGAGCTTTTCTTGAGATGCCGGTGCCACAGGACGTCAGCCCTACAGAAGTTCCTAGGCATGTTGTGGTACTTGGCAAAGTTCATCCCAAATCTTTCAGAAGTGACTGCACCTCCCAGAAAGCTGCTGGAAGGTGAAACACAAGATATGGGAACGTGAACAACAAGATGGTTTCATTCGCCTGAAAGTGCTAGTGAGTACAATGCCAATGTTGAAATTTTATGATGTGTACAGCCAGTTACCTTGTCAGTGCAGAAGATCTAGGAGCTGTGATCCTTCAGGAGGGACAACCAGTAGCGTGCAGCTCAAGAGCACTAACAGACTGTGAATGAAATTATGCACAAATTGAAAAGGAGCGGAGTGTGGGCCTACTCATTGTCGTAATCATACTTTTAGATTTAAAACATATGATGTTGCTAAAAAGAACATTATTTTGTGTATTTGGTGTAATGAAATGTGTTTATGCGGTTTAAGGTTCAAAAAACATTATTTTCCACATACTGTACATTATTGTTCCTCCTTTCTAAAACGCGTCGATTTTTACAAAGCTCATCGGTCTGAAAAGCGAGGTGTGCTCTGATTGGCCAGCTGTCCAGTGCGTTGTGACTGGCCGAATACCTCAAACGTGTGAAGGAAATGTTACGCCCCTTGTGATGCCTTGTCCCGGCCGGAGCGACGAAACAAAAACATTAAAACCCATTATAAACGAGGCATTTGTTGCATCCAGTGGGAACATAATTACTGATTATAATGACTTATACTGTCTTTTTACGCGTTGCATCGCGGCGCATAAACATAAAACCAGGGCCGTGCACGGGGGGTGGCCCGGTGGCTAGAGCCACTGCCCCTTTGCCCTCATCGGCTGAGTTGCCCTCTGGAGTGGAGACCACAGTTCCCGAAGCTCGTTCATTAACAGGTATCTACCTGCATAACAATCCACATTACAGTCAGTGGAGGATTCGCTGAATTAATAATTTGGTAGTTTGTTTTTGTATTTCTGTCGGTAAAGTGATTAAAAGTGATTACACTTTTACATCTTATAGAATATTTAGCAGTTTGTCACACTTTAATTCTTGTAATTAAGTATATTTCCCATTATAATACTTGTCTTGATACTAGTAATCTATAACGCATCATATTTTATTAAAACCATATTAATAGTAGGCCTATAAATAGTTTAAAAATAATATAAATGTTCTAAATGAGTTGTTTATTTGTATGTAATATAGATTAATGCTGTAAAATATTAAAATAAATGTCTAATAATAGGGGAGAGTGGGCTAAGATTAGCCATTTTTTACTTATGTGGTCCTCAATGGAAAATGACGCAGAAATACAAAGAAAATATCTATCCTATCCTATCCTATCCTATAAGTGAAAGTGACGTGACATGTGGCGACCCATACTTGGAATTAGCAGTGGTGGCTCGTCAGGGGAGGCAGGGGGGGCACAGCTTCCCCATAATTTAACAAAAACCGGAACTACCAACTTTGGTGAGAGAAAAAGGTATAAAACAGATGAGCTGACAGACAAAGACTTCAGATGCGGTTACCGTTATCTCGGCTTTGTTGCTGTGACAATAAAGTCTTATTTTGACATCTGGAACTCTGCTTCTCGAACTTCATTGACTACACCAAAGAAAAATACACAACACGAGTCTGACTCTCTAACCATTAGGCCACGACTTCCCCTATATATAATAAAAAAAAAATTGTTCCCATGGCTCAGTTTGCCCCGGGTTAGGGGTAAGTTGACCCGAGTCGAGTCAGTGGGTAAGATGCACCATCTGGTCAAATCTGATTCAAACCCATGTGAAATAAATAACAATTTAAAAACTAATGTAATAATTTCCTTTTTCAAACAGACATATTTCTTTTCATAAAGTTAACTTTAACATAAAACCATCCAAATGAAGTTTAAATTTCAGTATTTATTTGTTTGCATTTCTGAAACAATATGTTGAACACCAAAGTTGTAGTCTTCCTAAAAACTAAACCACATTAAAACACCAGTTTATAATTCAGAAATTTAACTTAACTACAGTGCCTTATGGTGGGTTAAGTTAAAATGCTGACTTAATTTACCCCACAACATTTGGCTCACTTTGCCCCATAGCTACCATTTTGGGGAAAAATAGCTACTGTAACCAGTTCAGGCTAATATTTAGCTAAATGATTTGCATGGTTTAATATGTTGCTAACGTACTTACAGTCTGTGAGTCAGAACAGCCGGCATTGTAGTCAACCAGGATCAGGAAACAGTCCTCCATAAAATGCCCTGCACACATTTGAATATTTGGGTTGAACAACGAAACACACGGCGGGCTAGAGTGAGCGGAGGCTGGCTTGAGTGAGCGG